GATCTATTAAATTTCTATTAGACTTAATGCTTGATTTTCTTTATAAACACGCTAGGTATATGGGTATATTCATTAGAGATAATAACCATAGTCCTACATCCCAACATATTATTTTTTGTAGCATACAAATATGTGACTTTTGCCTTTTATGAAAATTCATTTAATATTCTTTCTTCTAATACAGTGCTATCAAGGGTGATTTATACAACCATTTTGGATATATAAAATTCACAAAGTATGATGATGGCTGCAAAAAATTAGATTTAAAAGAACTCCTGAAATAACATCAGAAAGTAGTTTCACCTCACATCTGACAGGATGACTATTTTCAAAAAGATAAGAAATAACAAATGCTTGTGAAGATGTGAAAAAAAAGAAACCCTTATACACTGTTGGTGGGCTGTAAACTGATACAGTCACTATAACACAGTATGGAGGTTCCTCAAGAAATTTAAAATAGAACTACCATATGATCCAGAAATCCCACTTCTGGGTATGTATTCAAAGGAAACAGAGCCATTATCTCAAAGAGATATTTGTACTTTCATCTTAATTGAAGCATTATTTACAACAGCCAAGGTACAAAAACAACCTAAGTATCCTTCAACGGATGAATGGATCAAGAAAATGTGATTGATACACACACACACACACACACACACACACACACACACACACACACACACAGAGGAGTATTATTCAGCCTTAAAAAAGGAAAATTTTGTCACGTCATTTGCAACAACATGGATAGAAGGAACATGAAGGGTATTATGCTAAGTGAAATAAGCCAGACAGTGAACTCATAGAAACAGAGACTAGAAAAGTAGTTGTCAGGTACCAGTGCTGGGAAGTGGGGAAAACAGGCCGGGGCTAGTAAAAGAGTACGAACTTTCAGTTATAAGATATGAATAAAGTCTGAGGATGTAATATGAGGTGATGGATGTGTTAATTAACTCAATGGGGGCAACCCTTTTACAATGTGTATGTTTATCAAATTACAATATTTATATGTTAAATATCTTACAACTTTATTTGTCAATTATACTTTAGTAATGTGGAAAAAATTAAAAGGTAAAAAAGAAAGTGGTCAACATATTACAGGAACAATATTTAAAAATAAAAATCTATAAAGTATTTTGGAATGATGGATCTACATAAATGTTAGTTGAACTGGATAACTGAATAGTCAATAACTGTAACTTTTACTTCATTTGTGAACTTAAGCTTTAGAAGTTTTAATTGATCGGCTAATTCAAAAGCATAATGTGTGTGTTTGCCATGGTTCTTATTACATATACAAATAGTTTTCTACATAAACAATTTTAGGAAAGATAATTTGAAGTTCAAGACTCTAGTATATACATTTTATGTTCAACTATAGATACTTCATTTTATATATTTAGCACTCTAACAAAATACTATGCTTACAATATATATCATTTGTGGGAGGAAATCTAGTTTATTTAGCTACCCTTTCTATATTTTCTTCCAATTTTTTCTTCTACTTTTGAAATGTCTACCATTGTACAAATATTCCTGATTAAAAAGAGAAAAACATCAACTTAATTTTCTTTTTTAGTTTATTTTAGGAAATTCAATATATAAAAATAAATACACAAAAAGCAAACAAAAGCAAAATAGTAGTAAACTTTTATCCTCTTCTTTTACTAAAATCATCAATGTTTTCACAATAGAAAGATGTAGCCGTAATTACAATGAAGGAATAATGGAAGAACCATAAAAGTAAACAATCCCCTATTTTTAATAATTTGTTGCTGGTAATCAAAATGTCAGAGATTATTTTCATATTGTGGCCTAAGGTAAGTCTTAAGATCCAAGAGCATATATTTATTATTGTGCAACAGCAAGTCATAACTTGTGAATAACTACACATCAAATCTTGTCCAGACAATGAGATAATTGCTGTTGTGCCTTTGTTTAACCTGGATGTGACATCAGTGAATGTTGCTGAAGTCCTCAGTACTAGAGACTAAATGTGACCACCCAAATATTCTTATGTTGAAACCTAATCCCCAATGTTAGGATATTTGGAAGAGGAGACTTTAGAGGTGATTGGTAACCTTATAAAAGAGGTCCCAGAGAGATCTGCTTCTGCTGTATGAGGACACAGTAAAAAGATGGCCATTTATGAACCCAAAAATAGGTTCTCTATGGACACCAAATCTGCCAGCACTGTTATCTTGGATGTCCAGCCTCTAGAACTGTGAGAAATAAGTTTTTGTTGTTTATAAGGCATTCAGTCTATGGCATTTTTGTTTCAGTAGCCCAAATGGACAAAGATACCCAGGTAGTTCTGCACAGCTCTCTGCAGCTCATGGCATATCCTTGCCAATGTCTGCAGAGATGACCTTTCTGCTGACATGTATACAATCTTGATATAATTTTTCTTTTTCCATTATAATTTATACAACATCTAACAGTGGTAACACAGGGGTGTCTGTTAGGTATTTGGATAATTCCAGGTGAATAAAGATAGTCCCTGCCCTCGAGGAACTTAAAATTATCGTGAGCATGTATGAGTGTGTGTGTGTTGGGGGGTGGGGTGAGTGTAGGAGGGCAAGAGGGGTGCAAGGCAAAGAAAAGAGCAGTAAAAAGAGATTTTTGTTGTTGTTGTTCTTAATAATTCTAATACTAGGGGTGAAGGGCTTTTTGATTGGTCAATTCTCTAAGTGCTTTTTATGCTGTGATCTACAATCTCTAAAAATATCACCTGGTTGCTACAGATACATCCCTTTCTTTTATTAGCCCATGGTGTTTGTTGGTATATAGGTTTTCATCATTAAGAAAGGGAAGTGTAAAAGATACATTCCATTACACACAGATTTTATAGTTTCATTTCTGAAATATATATGATGTGCTCTAACGTGTAGAAAGATAGGTCTCAAAATGTGTGAGGATTTTCACCAAATTTTCTATATATAATTAATGTTCACAAAACTTCCACTTTTATAGTGTCAGTCAGATAAAAGAACCAACACAGTTTTTATTTGAAAAATAATAAACAGCAAATTTAAGAATAAAACCAAATTCTACATTGTGTCATATACATTAATGGCTACAGGCCCAGGCAAGCAATGCAAAGACTCTTAGGAGCTTAAGTACAAAACAATACAAGTACAAACAATTAGTGGCCATGGAGAACACTCTCTAAAGAGGACAAGAAGATAGTTCTAGCCAATTTTGTGCTATGTGATAATACAGGCCTAGTGCTGCCAGTTTTTCAAAAGCAACCACAACTTCAGATTTTTTATATGTAATTTTCAATTCTTTAAAACCTTGTACTTCTAAAACAAGAAAAAAAAATATGTCTCCTGATCAGTTTAACTCTGTAGTTGCCAATTTTTAATGCAGTATTATGGTAGAATGAAATCTAAGCAATCATGTATAAAACCACAAGAAAATCTAGGAGGAGGAACTATAGAATATTTCTGAAAGGTATTAGTCTAATATAGTAAAATACCTACCAGGCCCATCATTCTGATAAAAAATGCTGAGCCTGCCTCTTTAAGCGTGGAGACAGGGAAAGAAGGTGTTACAAATAATTTGAACAGCACAGTCAAACACGCAGAACATGTTAAATACTGATCCTTTCATCCACCTACCTACAAAGTGCAAAATGGAGTTGTAGTGAGCTCAGAGACAGACAGCAAAGTTGTAGAGATCAATGATATCATGTTGAGGGGAGAAAAAGAGGTCGAACTGAGGTCAAGTGTGCATGAAGACAGGTAAAAAGGATAACGTTTTTCTTTCGTTTCATTTTTTTAGTTGTTTTTTTTTTTTCCCCAGAAAGATAAGCAATAAGAGGGAATAATGTTGTGGCCTATAAAGTACACATAAGGTAAACCCTTGGCTTTATTATAGGAGACCTTCTTATAAAATTAAAAAGCAAAGAAAATGAAAAAAGTGAAGAGAAAGGAATAAAAATAATTAGCTTGTATTTAGTCAATTTACACAATAAGACATATCTACATGATAACTGCATGATATCCAGTTGTTGTTTATGCTGAAAATAATTTTTAAAACATTTATATCAGTAGTTTTCAAACTTTGGTGTGCAAAAAGATCGCCTGGTGAGTCTATTAAAATGCAGATTTTAGGGTCCAAATCCCAGACATACTGATTCAATAAGGCAAATACGGGGTCCAGAAATCTACATTTTCAAAAGTGCACCCGGTAATTGTGACAAAAAAGACCCCATTTTGAGAAATATTGAGTTGATAAAGCCTGAATTGCAAATCAAAAGTTATGAAAGGAATTCTGAGAGAAAGTGTACCCTAAAGTTTTTGAGGCTTTTAGCAGGGAAAGCAATATACTCTCCCTGAAACATTTCTTTACGCCATTATCAGAGGTTGATAATTGGAATGAATAGCCCGCAGACCTGGCAATAAATAAGTTTTTCAATATCTGTTCGTTCTTTTAGCTTACATTGAGAACCACATCTGGTCTATTTTAACTTTCACGATTCTGAGGTAACTGAGGTTCATTGCTAAATATTTAATGTTTCTTTGCTAAATACTTCAAGTTTCAAAAACTGCTGATAAACTCTCAAACTTCAGAACTTGATAGCTAGGGATGATTTTGCCACCGATAAGTGAGCAGGACTAACCAGTCTTTAGTACCAGTATGAGTCTCTGGGATCAATTTTATACATATTCTTTTCAGTCTGTTTTTAAACTTTGTGGTGTCAAGGGTGTTTTCCAAAATAAGGTCCAATTGACCACTCTGCCATTTCACTCCAGGCCTCCACTTCCAAAGGGCTCCCGTCTGGCAATAGATTCTAAGAGGTTGTGTTTGCATCAAGTACCTTAAGAATTACTGAAAAATGACTAATATTATATAATATATGTAGGCTAATGAAAATAACTAAAGTAGTATGCTTCTTCTGTTGGTGGTAGTGGGAGAGCAATAAAAAAATAATAAGTGTAAAATTTCATAAAAACTTGATAGGCAATGTCAAGAACAAAATGTTGAGAACTTACACTTGGAGCACGGTCCTGGGGTCTCCAACTTCACCCCCATCACCAATTGTCAAAGTATCATAGCCAATTTCCAGATCAAATTCTTCGAAATTTATCTGGATAACCTAGCAATAAACAAAAACAAACATTATTGTCTACAACCATGCTACCCTGAACAAGCCCGATCCCGTCTGATCTCAGAAGCTAAGCAGGGTTGGGCCTGGGAGACCACCTAGAAAGAACAGGAGCTATAGGCATAAAAAATAAAAAAATAAGAGATTGTAAACTGACAAGGTCCTTGCAATCTGTGAGGTCAACCGAGGTGCCTCGCCTAAACAAACAAACAAACAAACAAACATTATCAAATATATAGCATTATATAATGAAAACAAAAAGAAAGCAATGGCAGAAAAACATTTCAAATGCACATCAGACATATATATAGAGAGAGATACAGATATATATAGATTAGATAGATATAGATATAAATATACAGATAAATGGAATTCCACGCCATGACAGCAGATCATGTCAGACTATTCCTAAAGTTCAATCACTATAATTACCATGCAATTTTTATTTGCTGCATTGTACCTTCTATAATAATTTTTCAATGAAATGGCATAACTTCTGTTTATAGAATACTCTTATTTGAAGTATTTGTAGCATGATTAATGCAAATCTACTTTGGGAAGGCTTTATAAAAAGTAAATGTAGGTGGAGGGTGGTTTTCCATACATTTGCATATACCTTTTATAAAGCTAACACAGAAAAACACAGTATGCTATTTCCATTAAATAGTAGAGCTTAAAAAAAAATGTTAGAGTTAAATTTGAATCTAGATGACCAGATTTAAAGGTTTTGGGGGCGGAGTCCAAGATGGCAGCATATGAAGATCCTGAACGCATCTCCTCCCACAGATACATCAAATTTACGGCTACATATGGATCATTTCCCTTTGAAAATAATCTGAAATCTAGATAATCTGGTGTTCTCCACAACAAAGGATAAAAGGACCACATCAAGATGGCGGGAAAGGCAGAGAGACAGGTCCCTGAAAATAACCCGCCGTACTATAGCAACATACAGTAAGGAGGTGTCTCAGCAGACAGGCACTTCTCTCACTGGAGCAAGAGGTTGGTGTCCCACATCCAGCACCTCAAACTCTGGGAGCTGCACTAGAGAGACAAGCCCCCAAAGTGTCTGGCTTAGAATACAAAGCAAAATACTTTGGAAGACACGTTATACCATGTGAATAATTTAGTATTATTTCTTAATAAAACATGCTCATGAATTCAAACACTGTTTATGATCCTATGCAAATAGCCATATCTAATTAAAGTGCAATTCTTAAATTAGGAACATAACATAATATTAAGAATAATATAATTAAGAATCAGTACGGGAAGAAAATACATAAATATTGTCTTGTATACAATGATTCCTTAAGCAAAACTTAATTTACAACAAAGCATTCACCACAAGATAAAAAAAAATTAACATTTGAGCTGACCAATAGTATCAGAAAAGAAATTTAAAAGGTATCTCTTTAATAATCATCATAACTATTTGTTACTTTGCTATCATAAAAAGAAATTCTAAAAATTATCAATTTCATACCCTGCTCTTCAAAGGTTTATAACAGAAATTATTTGCCTATTTTTAAAAATAACTTTATATTAACATTGATTAAAGCAATTGGTAAAGTATAAATACAGAATATATGAAAACATTTAATTATTCATTTTACATAACTGCAATTAAAATAATTTGTTTCCCTGTTCTACACTAAGTTAAATATAAATACTCTCAATTCATAACTGCGTATCTGTGGAGATTTAGATTGTTTCTCCTGTTTTGCTCTAATGAGCAACACGGTTATGAGTAATATTAAACATTTTCTAGTTTAAATGTACACATATATCTCTAGGTTATACATTTAAAAGTGCAATTTCTGGATGATAACAAAGCAAACATTTAACTTCATAATGCGTCCTATAATTTTCCAACATTATTTACCAATTTAAATGCTCACGACTTGTGTATATTAGAGTTCATTATTTCTAATCTAAAGGATGTAAAAAGTGATCTTTTTTGCATTTTCTCCATTTTAATTAAGTTGTATTTTTAAATTTTATTTTATTAATTTTATTGAGGTGACATTAGTTAATAAAATTATATAGGTTTCAAGTATACAATTCTTTAATACATCTTCTGTATGCTATATTCAGTGTGTTCACCATTGAAAGTCAAATCTCCTTCTGTCACCATATATTTGACCCCCTTTGCCCTGTTCCATATTCCCCCACCCCCTTTCCCTCTGGTAACCACTACACTGTTGCCTGTGTC